GACGCTGCTGCTCCAAAAACGCCTGCACATCCATGTGCTCATTGCGCTCAGCAAGCGCCTGCAGAAATGGGTGGACGTGCAGGTTTGGGGGATTGAGCCTACATCATACACACACGGACGCATCGTCCTAACACACACAAACACATACACACTCAGATGGTCCAAATACACAGAACACGCACGTGTATGCAACTCACAGCAGCATCCAGCCCATCAGACTTTGTCCGGTTTACATCCGCGCCGAAAGCAACAAGCATCTGTCAACATGCAATGCATGAAAGCAGGGGAAGCATGTAATGGAAAAAAAATGACTTGCAAAATCACGTGTCATATCATGTCACAACACTACGCAGCAAGAGCGTGGAGTGATTGCATGTCGTCCACATGTGTGTGTGCATGCGATATGTGTGGACGTGTGTATGTGTATGTGTATGTACATGCGATATGTGTGGACGTATGTATGTGCATGTGTTTGTAAACATGCGATATGTGTGGACATGTGTGTGTGTGTATGTGTATGCATGTTGGTGTGTGTCGGCACCTTGACCATTCGCAGGTCACCGCGTGCGGCCGCTTTGTGCAGGGGCGTCCACCCGCACAGATTCAGCTCCATCTCAAGATTCGCGTTGGCCTATTCGGTGCGCCGTGTATGTTCGTCAAATGCATACATTGGTCGATGTGAGGGCATGTCCCACGCACACATCGATCACTCCACTCAGGTTATGTGAAGAATGCACCGCGCAGAACGTGCCAACTCCAACAGCACCATCGCCACCACCGCTGTGTTCACCTGCAATAGGAGGGCGACAGCGTCGTGGTCGTCGGCAGTGACGGCGATGTGCAGTGGCGTCTCGCCATATTGGTTCTGCTCGTTCACGTCCCACCCCTTCACGGCACCACGCAGTCGTGATAGTTGATGATTTGCAGGATGGAGGTCATCACAGGAGGAAGCACATATGCACACGCGTGTACATGTTGCAGGGGTTGATTGCCTGCACGATACGATTTCGGTACACAACCACGCTCACATTGTCTTTTCCACAGCCACAAGCATGCACACACACACACACACACACACACACATACACACACATACACACACACACACACACAAACGTGCAGACGTCCGCCTCTCCCCCTTCTCGTTACCTCCTGGATGAAGCGTGCGATGGCTGTGTGGTCCTTTCTCTCCACGGCCTCAAAGAGCGTCGTAGGCGGTCGCACCACGGGCCGTCTCGCACGCGACCCCGCTGCTGTTGCTGCTGCTGCTGCTGCTGTTGCTGCTGCCATCACGCCTGCCTCTCCCGGTACTCCTGTGGCGGCGGTGTCCTCGCTACTGCCACTCCGCTGATCGGCACTTGACTCGTTCTCGTCATCGCCGCCCGCAAACCGGCTGAGTTGCGCAGCGCGGTACCTGTGCATATGTGTGTGTGGATATGTGTGTGTATGTGTTTGAATGTATGGTTGTGTGTGTGTGTGTGTGAAATACAAAGCTGGCACGAAATGTAGCTGCTGTAGGTGCGCGTGCGCGTGCAACCGCAAGAACCAGCTTGGCAGAAACACGGAACGCACATGCACACACACGGCAAATCCCACCAGCAAGAACACGTGCGCTTACTCTGCGAGTTGCTGGGCAAAGGACGTGTGTCTGTACATGTACGGGTGTGCAGCGCTACCCTCATCCCTCCTGTGCGGCTGCTGGTCCACAGCACTGCCAGCACTGTCGTGATACATCAAGAAATCGCGCTCGTTGCCATCGCCTTCATCATCATCCTCATCATCATCCTCCTCTGACGCCATTGCGCGCTGGGCTGTCACCTGGTGATGGAGGGAGCAGTCAGTGGTGGTGGTGGTGGTGATGATGATATGATGATGGTGGTGGTGGTGGTGGTGGTGGTGGTGGTGGTGGTGGTGGTGGTGGTGGTGGTGGTGGTGAGGGTGATGTCGTGGCGATGAAGGCAAGCAAACTGCTGAGATAGAAGAAGGGATGAGCGAATGTTACAGGCATCCATCACTGTCCACTCAATTGTGACAATCAAGTGTCGCTATCACGACAGCACCTGGTCAAAGACAATGGCCTGCACGCCCGGTGGGAGGGAGTTGATCACATCGGGGTTCTCCGACACGAGCGTCATCAGCTCAGCCACTGCAGGTTTGGGGGGGGGGGGTTGCAACGCAGCACATGAGGGAGTATGCAACATCAACAGGCAAGATAAGTGCACAAGTGCGTCCAAAACACACACACACACACACGAGTACATACACGCACGTGCATGCGCAGATGCACATACGGTCAAACACATGTTCACACAAGTGCACGTGCACGCACGTGCGGTGTTCTCTGCCTCGCGCTCCGATCGAAGCAGCTCCTCTGTGGCGACATCCCGATCTGGCAGTGGTGATGACGAGAACGTCGATGGCAGCGATGCTGATGGCTCTTCTTCGGGGCCATTCTTCTTTGTCAATGGTGGCTGCTCGGTCCCACGTGCGCAATGTAATTGAGGAAAACACAGTTGTCAGCTGCAGTCACAATGGAGAGCGTGTGTGCAGAGAGAGAGAGTGTGTGTGTGTGTGGTGTGGGGGGGGGAGGGGGTGCGTGTGTGTGTGTGTGTGTGTGTGTGTGTGTGTGTGTGTGTGTGTGTGTGTGTGTGTGTGTGTGTGTGTGTGTGTGTGTGTGTGTGTGTGTGTGTGCAAAGGAGGCACAGTTGTGCTGCTGCCAGTGATGCGCGTGCTTCTGCCATGTACCTGTTCTGCATGAGATGTCGTTGCCACAAGAGGTCTACTGTCGAGTTCCACAATGGTGGCCGTGCGTCTGTTGTGATGCTCAATAAGCGATGGTGGTTGCTCTTCGTTCTCTGCCTCTCCTCCCATGCCACCGTGTGCATCGTCATCGTAGCCTTCATCTCCTCGACGCTCCAGTGCCTGTGTCATCATGTGTGTTGTGGTTGCGTGTATCGAACGCATGAGGGTAGATGGCAGTGTGCACCGCAAGCATATGCGCAACATCCGCAATGCACAACGTCGCAAGACATTACGCATTCGCTTGTGGAACCAAAGTAGTCGCGCCGCACGGCAGGCAGAAACAAAGGCCATACCAGCTCGCACGTACATGCAGGAGTGCGTTGACTTGTGCGGTGTCGCCGGCATCGAGGGCGCGCAGGATGGCTTCGTCGCCAGAGAGGAGAGCGTCCAGTTGCTGCGGCGATTCGGCTACATCATCGCTGAAGTGGTTCGCAAGAAAATGCAAGGCCTCGCTCTCGGCGGTTGCTACCTCTGCCAGCACGTGCGGGAATGCATGGTTGCAGGTGGGTCACAATGCAGATATGGTGTCACGTTGTGATTCAAACACAAGTGTTGCGCAAACCTTGATGAACACCCCTGTAGAGCCTCACAGCAGCCTTTGAGAAGCGGTTACGCGAGCATACCATTGGCAGGCCAAGAGAGACAGGAGCGAGCAGCCTTACCTCGCGTGAGTTGTGTTGATGCAGGTTTGACACTGGCAGGTTGTGGCTGTTGCTGCTGTTGCTGTTGCTGTTGTTGTTGTTGTTGCTGCTGTTGTTGTTGTTGTGCATCAATAGCTGTCCTGTGGGTGTGGTCAATACAAAGCCGAAGCGAGCGCAAGGAGGGTGACTGCAGCGTACTCAACGAAATCAACAGAGCATGTGGCCTTCATTCGCATGTCTACTCACAACTCCTTGAGCTGTTGATGTAGCTGTGCCTGCTCTTGACGAAGACGAAGGATGGTCGCATTTGTTGTGTCCAGCGGGCGCACCGCCCTGCAACAAGAGCAGTAGTAGTAATCGCAGTAGCAGCGATGAGCTGTGCATGAGCGGAGCAAGTTCTCATGCACAGCCAGGAGATTGATTCAGGAAATCAACGGATGGGCGGATGCACAAAGTGATGCGTGTGTACAGCACTGCCTTACGTTTGTGACTCGCACAGGGAGTGAAGATGCTTGGCGCATGCGTAAATGCGCTTTTCCTTGCAATGTTTCAGAAACACATGGGCGCATATGTGTGTGAGAGCCGTGACACACGAGCACAAACACAAACACAAACACAAACACAAACACAACCACAAACACAAACACACGCACACCACCTGCGAGCACACTGCTGCTTCCAGTTCGTCCATCATCGTTGTTTGTTTGCAGAATATGAATGGAAATCTTTCATGTTTTCTCCAAAATGAATGTGTTTTTTTTTTTGTTGTTGTTGTTGTAGTTGTTGCAGTTGTTGTTGTTGTTGGTTGTTGTTGTTGCACAACGCACACACACACATGCATACACATGCATACACACGCACATGCGCACACGCACACGCACACACACACACGCACACGCACACGCACACAGGAGAGTAACAGTGATGCTGTGAACTGCATGCGATGAATCAAAGTCGCATCACGCACGGCAACAAAGCCAAGCACAGTTGGACACAGCCAACATCACGTGCGCCTGTTGAGGAGGTGCAGGCTTGCAATGGCAACCGCAGCGCCAACGCCAGCCGCAGCAACCAAATCCCAGCGTCCACAGCACATCTGAGCGCACCACATGCACGAAGACGTGCCTGCAGAAAGAGTGAGAGTGTGAGCGTGTGTGAGAGTGTGTGCGTGAGCGAAAGAGGAAAGAGTAAATGTATGCAGGACAACGAGACAGCGTTTGTTGGATAGCAGGTGTCCACATAGACACGTGCAGAGACAAGCACACACATGCAGAGACAACCACACACGTGCAGAGACAACCACACAGACACACATGCATACAAACACGCTCACACACACAAACAATACACACAATACACACAAGTGCACAGCATTGTCTCACCAGCAACATCCTTGGCTTGCTCGCGCTCGGCAAGCGTGGTGTCCATGAAGTCCTTGAGTTCGGTCAGGTCGTTGCCGATGTGTGCGCACCGCTTCGGTTTCAGGTGCAGCCCTGCCGGCACGCAAAGAGTGCAGGTGGGCGCAAGCGTGCAAGCAAGCGTGCAGGCAAGCGTTGAACGTAATCAGCGCAGTATCCAGTATTGTTGGGGGGAGAAGGAACAGTCCAGCCATCACGCTCTCACATGGCAATTCAACGATGCCACAATAGCAGCAGCAAAAGCAACGGCAGCAACGACAACCCAAGCACACGCAGCAACCCACCCCTCACAGCCACACGTCATCGTTCCCTCCCCCGCCAACACGCACACCCGCACCAACCAAGCGCGTACCCTTGAGCTGAGGTGGCAGTGGTGGCGGCACATCTGTTGGCGCGTCCGTCTCGCGGAACTTGCCCGGATGCGCTGTGGCCAAGCACACAAAATGGGACGCAGGAACGCCGGCCAGATCCTCCCCGTCACCGCGCACAAGCCTGAAATGGGCATGCAGTGGGCGTATGAGAGATTGAGAGAGAGAGCGTGTTTGTTTGTGTGTTTGTTTGTGTGTGTGTGTGTGTGTGTATGTGTGTGTGTGTGTGTGTGTGTATGTGTGTGTGTGTGTGTGAGCGCAAGTAGACAGGAGCATGCAATACGTCTGGCACAGGAGCCGAGGCTGTAACAAGGCAACAGCCACCATTCCACACACACACACACAGTGCACAAGGACACTCACTGCATTGTGTGGAGGGCTGTGGCCGTGTGTGGACAGGGAAGGTAGTTGTAAAGCTTGCGATAACGCCAGATGGCAGCTGAAAACAACAACATCGACACAAAAGTGTTGTGAGCAACAAGGGCGAGGAAGCACTTGACAGAAAAAGGTACTCCAGCCACGCAAATGCATACGTGCATGTATTTGAACGTGTACGCCTATACGTGTGCACGTGTGTGCACGTGCGCGTGATCGCATGGGTTGAATACCCTTGATGTCTTCGTCGGAAGCACGGCCGGCATCAAAAAAGGAGTCAACAATCTTGTACAACTCATCCTGGGTCGTTAGAGATGTCGTACACAACACAGCAGCATTAGATGCAGCACAATGTCCACAACACGAAGCACAAAGCACAAGACACGGCCCGAGGAGCACGAAACGTTGAATCACTCATTACGTCTTCCCTACGTCTCCAACCACCGCTTGCAACAACAACAACAACAACAACAACAACAACAACAACAACAACAACAACAACAACAACAACAACAACAACAACAACAACAACACCTTGTTCTTGCCCAAATCAAGCGTTCCACTGGACTTGATGCGTTTCATCAGCGCTGTGGACACGCGAGTATATTGTAAGTAGGGTAACATGGGATGGTCAGTGAGAAGAAAGCAGGTGTGTGGCTATTCGCGCGCACATACGCACGCTCAACAAGGAGCGCACATACGCCCACATACGCCCACATATGAACCAGCTTACAACAAACACCCAAACACACACACACACACACCTTTCGTTTTGTGAGGATTGTTGTCCATAAGGAAGTAGAGGAAGCGCTCAAAGTTGCTTGGAACAACAATGTCCATTGCCGGGGCTGTCGCAATGTCGATAGCATTCACGTCATGATGGGGCAGGATCAGAACACAGTGAAGAGACGATGAAATCTGCTAGGCACAGAGAAGCAGAGCAACGCCCATACATGTGCACGCACACAAAAAACAAACAAAAAAAAACAATAACGCACCAAAACACACACACACACACACAAGACAAAACACACACAAAACACGCACACACAACGCACACACACACAACGCACACACACACACCAAAACACAAACACACACAAGACAAAACACACACACACCAAAACACAAACACACACACACCAAGTGACGGCTCGACGGGGCGGGCGGTGTAGTCGCGGTGGCGGAGAAAGCGGTACAGGATATCGTTCCTGTTGGTCGCAACAACGAGCTTGCCAAGTGGCAGTCCCATCCCTGAGCACAGATGGCGATGGGAAGGAGGGGGGAGGGAATGAAAAGCGGAAGGGGGGAAGGTGAACACGATGGTCAGATGGTGTGAGAGACAGAGAGCTGGCAACGCTAAGCGTGGTTCTAAGAAGGGAGAGGGCAGTTGAATAAAGGCGCGGCAAGAAAGTCCACATACCCTTTGACACACACACATACACACACACACACACACATTGTCTCTCTAGACAAGCTACTCGACGACTCACGCTTTGCGTAGAAGCCTGCGAGGATGTTGCCAAAGTTTCCTGTGGGCACGACGACGTTGAGCGTAGTGCCAATGGCCGTGTGCTCTTGCTCCACCCAGCGGAAGTACATGTAAAAGTAGTACACAATCTGGTGCAACCACACGTATATTACACACACACACACACACACACACACACACACACACACACACACACACACACACACACACACACACACACACACACACACACACACACACAAACACACATGTGGGTGGTGACATGAGCCACAGGGAAAGGAAGCAAAGTCATGGGTGTTGGGTGCATCGTGCAGCGTTGTGAAGTAACTGGCGTGCTGTGTGCCGCACCTGAGCGAGGATGCGTGCCCAGTTGATGCTGTTGACAGCTGCGAGGTGGTGTTTCTCACGGAACTCCTCGTCTTGGAACAGTGTCTACAAACACGCAACGCGCATGTCAATGTACAGGCGCTGGGCTGAGCCAATGGTAACGAAAAGGCTGCTGTTGCATCATATCCACATATGATCACACATACGCATACCACACACGTACACACACACACACACACACACACGAACACACATACACACACACCAGGATGTGATCAACACCATTCCAACGTTACCTTGACCATGGACTGGCAGTCATCAAACGCGCCATCAACAGCGACGTTGTGCACATTTGCATCCAGGATGGTTGTCATCTGAAGTGGAGATTGGGTGGGAGGGGGTGACACAACGAAATGCAACACGTGCATGTATGCATGTGCATGCCTGTGATGCTTGCATGCAGGCACAAACAAAATCGACTGCGAGGCGTGCGTGCGTGTGTCTGCCTGGATCACTCCATGCCCAATTACCGCAAACCCCGCTCCCTCAGTTTGCTTGCAAGCACAGTGTGTGCTGACCTGCGCCTCCTGAATGGGAGCAACACGCTTGTGCGGGTGCAAGATGAACACTTCCACGTTCTCCTTTCCTCGCAGGCCTAGTCCATCCATATGCAAGCAGGATGGCACAAGAACACAAACACACAATGAGATCTTACAACACGCCACCTGCACGCTGTTCCAACCACAAACAAACACACAAACACACACACACACACGCACACGCACACGCACGCACACACACACGCAAACACACACACACACACGCAAACACACACAGACCAGCACCACGGCCCACATCGCATCATGGAAAGCATTCACGCGATCACCTTCGATGGCAGCCGAACCCGTGTCACCGGAGGTTGCGCCAAGCACTGTGATGGCATGGCGATCTTCCTCCTGCCACATGGTGATGTGTGTGTGTGTGTGATGCACACAATGAACATTGTGAACGATACGAAGACGATTAACACCATGTGCATCATGCACATTCTAAACATCATGAACGGCTTGGGCAGCTGCGCACGAGCACACACGGGTGCTTTGCAAGCAACGCCATCAAACCATAGCATGCTACACATTGTCCCATGTTAGCCACTCACGGGCAAGTGCTGGTTCTTGCGGGCGAGAAAGAACTCAAACAGATTGCCCACAAACTGCAGCGCGACGTCCTTGAAGGCGCACGTGGGCCCATGGAACTGCTCAAGCACATACGTCGGTGGCGCGTGCTCGGCCGTCGTGCCAGGCGTGAGCTGTCACCAACGTGGTGGAGGTGGGGGAGTGCGTGTTGGGGGGGGGGGTTGTTGTTGGTGAGGGGGTCGCGCTGTGGGGGAGAGTAGGGGAGAGGATTAACATGAAACAGAGGGCACAAGTTTCCGCCATACAAACAGGCATCAATTCAATCTTGTCAAAGCGAGTTGACATGAACAGCTAATCTCATCACCGCCACATACACCACACCTTCACGAGTGGGGTGACGTGCGAAGATGTGAAGCGCGAGTAGGACCGGTGGACCAGCTCCGAGAGAGCCGCGTCGGAGATTTCATCCACGCCAATGTACAGCCGCATGACCGCAGCTGCCAAATCGGGAAAGCTGAGCGTGCTCCACTCCTTCAGCATGTCGATGGACACGGTTGGAACCTGCTCAACGGGTGGCAATGGTTGTTGCCAGTGGTTGTTGTCAGTGGTTGTTGTCAGTGTTGCGGTGTGAGCTTGCACATGAGGAGTGAAACAAACGCACTTTGAGAGTCACCAGCGAGCAGAACACACGTACAAAGCAATGGGAGTACAGCAGGACGGTACCTCTCTGGGGACGTAGAGGCCGCCATCGTGTGCAAGCCCGTGCATCACCGCTTCCTCAAACGACACAGACGCATTCTCTGCACAGCGCACATGTCGCGATGGTGAGTGGTGGTTGGTGGGTGATGACATGAAGCGGTGGGAGGTGAATAGCGGATCCTTGATCACATCACAGGACGCACGAACACTCAACCACCAGACAAGCGCAGCATCAGGTAAGCAACACCAGCAGCATCGGTTAAGCAACACCAGCAGCATCAGATGAGCAGGATGAGCCCACCGTCACTGCGGCGCGTGCTGACGTATCGTGGACCCGTGGACTTGAACGACAACGAGGGCGCGATGGTCTCCCGAATCGCCACAACATGCGCACCGAGCGGTGTTGGCTGTTGTGGCAAGAACAAGTACGTCGCATGTGCATCGTATTGTGAATTGTGTGCTTGGATGCCCATACTGATGCAATTGCTATTGTCGTCGACACAAGCAGTGCATCTTGTCCACAGGTGGAATCACAGACGTCAAAGCACACACAAAAGCAAACAAACAAACAAACAAACAAACAGACAAACAAACAAGCAAACAAACAAACACACACACACACACGCACAAAAGCAAACAAACAAACAAACAAACAAACAAACAAACAAGCACACACACACACACGCAGTACTCACCCGGGTGATGGTGATGCGGCCTTGCACCCCGCAGGCTTCGGCAGCAGCGGTCATTGCTGCGGCAACAGCAGCGTCGAACCGCTCGCTCGCGTCCTGCACCGCCACTTCGCCGCGGGCGCCCGTCGTGATGGCCAGGATGGACGACCCAGCACCAGACAGAAACGCGCCTGCAAGGCGTGTATGCGTGTGTATGCGTGTGTATGCGTGTGTATGCGTGTGTATGCGTGTGTGTACTGGATGAATGTGTGTGATCGTAGATACGGCGACAAGAATGTACAGCGCGCACACGAACACGCACACACACACACATTCTCTCTCTCATGTGGAGCAGAGCAAACATCTCTTTGTGCACAGCACATGCATCGCACCTTTTGCACCAGCGTCCAGTGCTGCCTTGATGACTGGGAAGAGGGCTGGCAGCACTTTGTCTGAACCGCGAACCGGCTGGTGAAGCTTGTCCTCCGTCGCTGATGGAGCAGAGATGCACGCAATGTGGTCAGTGCTGACGTACTTGGCGCCACACAGGCGTGCAGACACGACCACTCCCACTCACCGCCTTGCTCGGCAACACTTGGCAAACACACACGCACAACACACACATACACACACAACACACACACAATCGCACAACACGCACGCACAACACACACACACAGCACACACACAGCACACGCACGCACACACAACACACACGTACAACACACACACACACATGCACAGGACGCGTGTGCATTTGTGGGCGACGGACCGTGGCGCAGAGAGTCCAAATCGCCGGTTTGAAATGCGCGGACAAGGAGTGCAGTGCGGGCAATGTTGAAGATGGCATCGTCTCGTGGAACCTGCACAGAGACACGAGGGTGGAAGGGGGGTGGTGATCAACATGCGAGAGAGGACAAGCAGTGTAGGAGGGAGGACACAAGCGAGGTTGTGGGACAACATGAACAAATGCTCACATCGCCATACACACACAAGCGCATGGAAGAACACATACAAACACGCACACACACACGCACATACACACACACACACTCAAGCATACCTCTGACTTGAGCATGGCCCTTGCTTCCTTGGTGTTCATGGGCGTGTTTGGTGTGAGGACAACACACTGCAGCGATGACGGCACAGCAATCTCCTGCGTCTGCCAGCGCTCGCCCGTGTGGAACCCAATCTTGGGTGGAGACGAAAGGAAGTACGTGGCAGCGGTGGTGAAGGTGGCAGTGGTGGTGCAAAGTGCGTGGTACAGATGAGTGAAGCGTGGTGGTGGAGAAACATGCAAGTGGAGAGCGTTCGCACAACAAAGCTTGATGAAGAATGTGTCCACTTCGGGCGTAATTGAATAAAGGTATCAAGACGGATGAAGCAGCAACAACAACAATAACAGCAGCAACAACAACAACAATAACAGCAGCAGCAAGAACAACAACAACAACAACAACAACAACAACAACAACAACAACAACAATAACAGCAGCAGCAAGAACAACAACAACAACAACAACAACAACAACAACAACAACAACAACAACAACAACAACAACAACAACAACAACAACAACAACAACACCGCCAGCTTTAGCAGCGAGACCTGCAGGTTGCCGTAAATGCACGGCGCGATGTTGTCCACGTGTCCCTCAATGGATGCAGCCATCTGCAGCAGTTCTTCGCCATCCTTCACCTGGTACACGCAGTCATCAGCACGTGTCACATGAGTAGGCAGGACAGCAGCTGGCAGCCACTGCAATCGCACACCCACACACACACCCACACACACACACACACACACACACACATCCACACACACACACACACGCGCGCGCGCGCGCGTCAACAGACCTTGACTTGCTGGCCAGAGAGGACAAGGCCGGCGAGAATGCCGGAGATGATGCCTGCACTTGAGCTGCCGAGTCCACTGCCAAAGGGGATCTCATTCTTGCAGAAGAACGCCAGCGTTGGCATTGGTTTGCCAGCGCGCTCAAACGCCAGCTGCACGCCTGTTGAGGAGGAAGGGGGGGGGATCGAAGAGAGTGTTTGTGAGGTGGGGTGGGTTAACGATACATTGTTCAGTGAAATGGAGCTTGGCTCAGCCATGCCTAAGCACACTCCCTTCACATACACGCGTAGAGTCATGTCTGCGCACCTTTGACGACAAAGTTGTCTTCGTTGCGAGGCAGCACGTCAGCGCCTTCGCCCTGGATGTGGATGCTGAACCTGACATGTGTGTATGTGCGTGAAAAAAGAGAGACAGAAGGTATTGTGAGAGCAGCCACAGGGAGGTCAAGCAAGCGAGTTGACGACCCTTCTCATCAGGCATGCGCAAACACACACACACACACACACACACACACATGCTGGCGTATTCGACGGTGAGCTCGTTCCAGAGATCGAGGGCCATGCCGAGACTGTCGTAGCCTGGCCCCATGTTGGCCGTTGTCGCGGGAACACGCACCGTAACCCCAGAACGCACTGCAAGGGAACGCACAGGCATGATGATGGTTGTGACATGGAATGGTGAGCGCCTGCATGCGAATGGCAGTCAATCAGCAGGCGTTTGCAGCGAATGACGCGGGACGGAAATGGATAGGATGCGGTGAAGAGCACGGCTGCTCCTGTCGTATGATCAACCAAGCACTCAAACACCCTCACCTGTGTGGCTCATGGCTGCCGATGGATCGTGTGGATGGATGGATCGTGTGGATGGATGGATCGTGTGGAGGGGTGGATCGTGTGGATGGGTGGATACACGGGATGGATGGCTCGATGAAGCAAGCAACAAGCAAGAAAGCGGAGCAGAGGCGCAGAGCAAGAGAGCAGCGGCGATGAGTGAGCGACGGTTGCAGGCAGGACCAACGCAGTCAATTTGATGAAATCATTCAATAATTTTCCCAACTGAGACCGAAGAAACAAAGACAACAGTGAAGATGGTGGCTGCGTGGTACATGGACGATGCTGACACTGACCAGCGCCTCCCACACAAGACCGACCCGGTCAAGGAGGTGTGTGTGTATGTGTTTGTACTCGTGTGTACTTGTGTACTTGTGTGTGCGCGTGTGTGTACTCGTGTGCACTTGTGTACTTGTGTGTGTTTGTACTCGTGTACTTGTGTACTTGTGTGTGCGTGTGCGCGCACCTTGCCTCCCTTGGTTCTTTCTCATGAACACACTCCCCTTCATGTTCAACTTCATGGAACAGGTGTCGGTGGAAGACTTGAAGGACCTTGGCGTGCTCTACTGGAACATCCCAGTGGAGAAGCACGAGGTACATATGTGTGTGTGTGCAAGTAAAGGATAGTCTGCTGAGCACATCTTGCACCGCCAGCAGCAGCTGCATTGCATGCCACAGCACGCCGTGCACACGGATTCGCCTCACACATGCACACACACATACACTGCAGGATGAACTGGCCAAGGTGTGCAAGGAGCGCAACTATGCCAACCAAGACGTGGTACGTTTCAAAGGTGAACAGCACAAGAAACACATTGACTGCACACCCTTGCCTGCATACGGCCAGCTTTGTTCTAATTACCTTGGCTGTCATCCACTTCCTGCTCACAGCACCCTGTGTGCGTTGCTTCCTTGACCACTAGATCACCTGCTCCAAGGAGAAGCTGCCCAACTATGAGGAGAAGATCAAGTCCTTTTTCCAAGAGTGAGCGCACCTATCGTCATGTTGCATGTGCTGTGGCAAAGTGGTGTTGTGCTGGGATCATCGTACGTGTGAGGCAGACGCTCCTCAACAAGTGCTCTGCACGTACACGTTCAACATCTTTTTTTCCTCTCACCAGCCCGCGCCAACTCTTATTTGTGTCCAAACACGCGCGTATTCGTGCGTGTGTGTGTGCGATTCAGACACCTTCACGAGGATGAGGAGATCCGGTACATTGTTGATGGCAGCGGATATTTTGACGTTCGCGACCGCGACGACAAGTGGATTCGTATTGAGGTCACGGCCGGAGACCTTCTCGTGCTGGTGCGCATCGAGCGCGCGCGCGCGCGTGTGTGTGTGTGTGTGTCTGTGTGTCTGTCTGTCTGTCTGTGTGTTTATGTCTGCCCATGTGTATTTCTGCCTGTGTACCTGTGTGTGTGCCTGTGTGTGTTTGTCTGCGGCATGGCCACCAGTGCAGCTGCTTGATGTTTGCAGTCCCTCAACTCGAACCGCTAACGTGCTCTGTCTCACTGCTGTGCCGTTGCCCTGCTTGCATTACAACACCTGTCATCACGCCACATGTTGCATTTCACAGCCTGCCGGCATCTACCACCGCTTCACTCTTGACGAGAAGAACTTCATTCAGGTGCATGACCAATGGCTTGGAGCTGTCCAAGTTGAGCAAGCAGGCGTTCACACATTTACATACATGATTGCATGCCTTGATACACTGCAAGCACACACACACACACAATAACCCACTGACCCGCACCCGCTCACACGCGCACAACTTCGTGCGCATGTACACATGTGATGCCAGGCGAAGCGGCTGTTCAAGGATGAGCCAAAATGGACGCCCATCAACCGGCCCGCAGACGACAACCAGCACCGCGTGCAGTACCTCACCTCGCTTGAGGTGCGTTGGTCGCATGCCATGTACACACACGCTGCAGATATGACAGCCTGACCCCCGCAGTGGTAATGAAGCTTCAGCACATTACATTGACACACATACATACACACACATGCACCACGTGTAACACGTGCTACACAAGCGATGTCTTCCTGCCAATCACACACACTCTCACATACACACACATACACACACCTACACCGCGCTGTCACGCGTGCATGTCTGTGTTACAGAAGGAGAGCAAGCGCGCAAGGGTGGCAACCGCTTAAACACTCAACCACAAACAAACATCGACACGCAAGCACGTGGTTCTGCACATAGTTTCTGTAACACAAACACACAGAGCCAGACATGCAAACACATAATTCCACCCCCTCCTTCGTAGACGTGCGCACGTACTCAAATAGCCGTTTATTGAATGTAACACGCACGAAGCTTGTGCTCGGCGAGCATCCGTCGCCATACACACTTAGCAACGTTCATCAACCCACAGCAACTCATAGTCATGGGAGACAGGCAAAGCAGGAACAGAAAGACGGTGCCACACACACACTGCTGCGAAAAGCCATCGTTTCCATAGGCATCACACACACACACACACACACACACACACACACACACACAAACACACAACTGCGTTGCGCGTCAGTTCATGAATCCGCGGCAGTTGGCAGCGCCACACGAGCAGCGAACTTTGTTGTCGTCGTCCAGCGGGAACTGCAACGCAATACACACACGCACGCACGCACGCACGCACACACACCAGCACCAAGTGTGAGTCGCACGCACAGCACAGAGCGACATAGCCAGAAAAACACCAAACACAAACACACGACCATACAAGCATTGAGCACAAAGCACACACACGCCCCCCCCCCACACACACACACACGCGCGCGCGCGCACCTGGTAGTCGTATGTGAGCTCGTCACCCTTGCAAATGTGCTGCTTGGCCACAATGACAATCTTCTTGCCGCGATCCGTGGAGATGATGCGTGAGATGCAGTTGGGGTCGCAGCTGTGGTTCACAAACCGCGCCTGCCCACCCGTCAGCGTTGCGTCCACCACCTGCTTGTCGTCAATGCGGAACATGTAACTGCCCATGTTGCGTGCGTCATAGAACTGCTCCCGCTTGTCCGTGAGCTCTGGCCGTATCACCTCCCCAACATACTCCACGATCATCTCGCCGCCGCTAATGTCGCGCTGGGCATACAGCCCAAACCCGTGGATCTTCGAGTAGCCGACGCGCACCGTCTCCCGCATGCGCTCTTTGCACTGCCGGTACTGCATGGCGTCCGAGAGGTGGCTCTGCATGTGACCCATCGCACTTGCGGGGGCAGCGCGACGGCCGTTCCCGCTGCCGTTCGTTGCTCCATCACCACCACTAGCGCTGCCGCCACCAGAACTCGCACCACCACTGCTGCTGCTGTCCCCACCACCAGCAATTGCGAGCGACGATGGCGCCTGAGTGGTGCCAGTGGTGCTGGTGCCCGCGTTTGCAGCAGCGAGCGTGGCGTGCGGACGCCGCCGTTGTCGTTTCTTCCGCAACACCGACAGCGGCTCACACCGCGCACACCCGTTTGCGTTCACGCGCCCCGTGTTCGCCTCGTCAGCCGGCGGTGGCGGCCGCGCAAACACAAACTCGTACTTCTCGCAGCGAGCGGCATTGGGGAGTGCTTCAATCAACCGCACCACATATGGGACGTCCAGGCCAAACAGGTGAACGCCCGCTGGCGGCCTTGCGACGTCGTGCTTGTCCCACCCGTTTGTGCGGAGCGTCGCAATCACACGCGACCACACTGCTTCCGGTGTCGGGCCCTCAAACACAACAGCACGACGCTGAGCGGTGTTGGTCGCCGTTGATGTCCCTGCTGCTGTGGTTTTAGTTGTGGATGTGGTTGTTGGTGCGTCTGATGTGGATGTGGTTGTTGGTGCGTCTGATGTGGATGTGGCTGCTGTGTCGCGGGAAGGACGGGGTGGAAGGTAGATGACTTGAAAGCGAGGAACACTCTCGCTCTTCGTTTGTGAGGAAGCGCACGCCGACAATTGTGACGAAGGCACCGTGTGGTCATCACCACAGCTCGCGTGGTTCTGGTTGCCTTGGCTCCCGTCGTGCTGTGACTTACGTTGGTGTTGCGACTGCTGCTGTGCTGGCGTTGTGCAGATGCGGCACAGGTACACGGCTGTCGTTGAAGGGTCGTGGAGGTCAAAGAAGGTGCGCACGCTCGCAAACCCATCCGGGTAGATGCGGGTACGGGTGTGCATGGCTGGGGACGTGTGCTTGATCGCGCCCAAACAAATCACGGCAAGTCCACCGCAGCGCACCAGCAGGTCATCAATCTGAAAGTCAAGTGTGCGCGCACCCACAGACGACAGTGCTGAAGGCAGTGGTGGTTGGTGGTGGTTGGTGGTGGTACAAGGCGTGCACGGGAAATATAAGTTGTGTGTGTTTGCGTGAATGAGAAGAGCAACAACACTCATGTCAGGGTGCGCAGAAATACAAGGGAAGTCAGTGTGCACGGCGTAGCACACAACGAGCGACACCGTGTTACATTAAACCAACCAACAAACCAACAACTGAGCAGTCCCTCACCGTTGAGTTTTCTGTCTGCGGGGTTTGGTCGCTTGAGGCATTCAAGGACATCCTCCACGCTCGTGTGCATTGGGGGTGCAATTACGCTGCGTTGCACCTCAAATTGACCCTGACACAACAACAAAGACATGCCACACACGTGCACACACATACAGGGGATGAATACAAGGCAAGGTGTGTGTGCGTGTGATGGGATCACACATGGGAGCAGCGTGTACCGTTCGCAATGCGCACTCGGGCTAAATCGGGTGAACACACACACACACACACACACACACACACACACACACAAACAAACACACGTGCGCGCACACATGCACACATGTACACATGCAACATGTAACACGCACGACGAACCATGTCAGTCTTGTGGCCGGGAAGGCGCTGCGCGTGTGTCT